CGCCTCACGATCCCGCCTAGCAGGCCCAGCCCAATACGTATATGAGCTTTCTTCTGGTTCTCTTTAATATTTCTTTATCGAGAGTAAAAGCAATGACACCTTACATTACTCATGTATAGTTATATGTATGTTAAGTGTAAGTAAGTTTAAGTTTGTAAGGTATCATCTGCTAAAAAATTAGCTGGGCCTATGCTGACGAATTTTTTGCGCCGGTGCTAAAAAAATAGCTAAGGTGCTATATTATTTTTTTTGGCGTGCGTTACAGGTATTCTGCGGTACTATAGTCAGTGTACCCAGTAGTCGGCCACCCTTCGCAGGACATAGTGTGTTCAGGGCTAGGTACATAGCTTTCAGCACATAGCTTTTAGAGCACCGTTAGCGCAGCCGCGGCGAGCCGCGCCAGCGCGCATCTGCACTTTATTTTGGAAAGTACACGATCTCCAGCCTCCGCCGCGCCGCACCCCGCCCTGCCACTCCTCCGCAGCGATGATCCCGATGATGTCGCCCTCCATCAGGCTTTTCTCTCCGCGTCGCGACACGCGGCGCCCCCGGACAACTTTGGGCGCCCGCGTAGGTCACCCACCCTCTCACCCTCACCCCGCTTTCCCCGGCCCCAGGAGTCCCCCGGCAGTATCCGTCATTTTTCTCACCACGCCGCCGGCAGAGCGTCGCGATTGTGGTGGCCCCGGCGCCCCCCGAGGGCCGACAGGACAGGCGGTCAGACGGACGGACAGCTCACGCTCGTGGTGGCCCCGGTAACCCCCGAGGGCGGACAGGACGGGCCGGTCAGACGCGTACGGAGGGACAGCTCACGCTCGGGGCGTCCACGCACCCCGCCCTCCCGATCCCCGGCCAGACGAGACGCACTCAGCGCCCCCGCGCTAACAGCCAGCATTTGTCACTGGGTAATTGCCAAAAGATAATATCCCCCGACCCGCTGGCCGTGAATCCGCTGCCACCAGCCAGCCGCCCACCACCCCGCCCCGCCCATGAGACGGAGCGAGAGGGAAGCTGCTGAGGGGGACGCCGAGCAGCAGGAGAGTGAGTGAGCGGGGAAGAAAACCGTCAGGACAAAAAGGCAGTTCCGTCAACTTCCCCCCACTCTCTCCCCCCTCTCTCATTCTCTCTCACTTGCTCCTGATAAATCTGTTTGGTCGGTGCGAGTGGTAGCGCTGGGCGGACGGGGCAGGAAGTGCAAGACCACAAACCGGAACCGGAAGCCCGGCTGGCAGGGGGATGCGTTTCCGCGCGCGTCCGCCCCGCCCTCGACGGCTCCCCCTTGCTCCGGTCGGCCCGGGTCGGCGCGGGTGTGGCGCCCTTGCTTTCGGACAAAGGCGCGCAAATCGCCGCGACAGATGCACAGAGTGGGCCGACTGGACTTCTTCCAGATCGGCGTGCTTTTGTGCGTCAGAGGGACGTCCGTCAGCCTCGTTCGGCCTCGCTCAGGGCAGCAAGTGAGTGACAACGGTTCGAGAGTCGTAGATGTGTTTCGGGAGAACAAAAGCAGGCCTGAATCTGCTAACTTTGATGTTTTGTTTCCACAATACAACGGTGGAGAAATAAATATGAATGGCTATTTTATAAGTTCAAAGTGGTGTATTTATTGTTTCGGGTATTTTGGAAAACAACATAATAAACACGGCGCAGTTACTGTAGAATACAGTGCTTAGCAGCAGCTCCCGTTGTCAATGGCAGTCTTAAGACAAGCGTGTGACGACGCACCATCAAGGGAGTAGCCTTCAAGACACTCGCTCAGCAAGGCCGGAGCCTCGTCCATTGGGCAGGAGGACCCACCCCTTAGTGCGCCGCTGACTTCGGTGGAGCACAACTGGCCAGGGTTGAAGAAACGCTGAGAGGGGAGGTTTCTTGTGCAGATTTGGATTTGATCGCGAAGGTACTTGAGTGAAATGCTGCTGCAACCGTAGCTGTAAGCGTTGAGCTAGAAG